GCGTCGGGGGCGCTGGCGGCGTAGACGGGTCCGTGTCCCCCTCGGGGGGGCCCTGGACGCTCAGCTCGTTGGTTGGCGTCTCCTATGGAGACAGAGGAGGGGGGGCGAGAGGGGGCGAACCGTCACGTCCCACCACTGCACCCCAGCAAGCAACAAGCCCCGCGAACATTTCTCAGTTTATATTAAACGCTCTGGGGATGCCTGCACCCCCTCATTTCTCTAATCTGCCTTCGAAGCCGCGGGACAGCCTTAACCGCACCCCCTCCCGAGGCCGCGCCCCCGACGGCGGAGCCCCGCCCACTCACCCAGACAGACCCCCGCAGGAATATCCTCCTTGCTCCACGCGCTGCCTCCAGGGGCCCCCGAACCCATGCTACCTCCGTGCACCCCGCCCCGTCTCCAGGGCCCCTACCTACCTACCTCTGAGATCTCGGCTGCAAAGTCCCAATTCGGGCCCCAGGACTACCTGTGGCTGTGGTCCTCCAAACCCCCACCCCATCCAGCGCACCTCCTGACCCTCCCTTGGGCCCCTGGGCCCCGCCCGCCAAGCCCCATCCTTTTGTTTCGGGCCCCTCCGCTCAGGACCTCAGCCCGGCTCGCCCCGCCCCAGTGCACAGGCACCACCACGCCCTCCCGGTGTCTCCACAGCACTACCCGCCTCTGGGGACACAACCCTCACCGGTTTCTCTAGGCCCCGCCCCCCGCTCATTAGCTCAGCCCACCCCTGAACCCACTCTAAACCATGCTACCCGCAGCCTCTCCAGGACTCGCTCCTCGCGGGTAAGATCCATCCCGAGCCAGCCCCTTAGCCTCACCCTGGGCTGGTGCGCAAGCCCCGCCCCAAACGCACGAGGCTCCGCCCCCATAGCCCAGGCCCCCGCGCCCCTCTCAACACTTTCTCCCTGGTCTCTCCCAGATGCAGGTATTCCACTTCCAAGTCACCCTTTTGCAAAGCAAAGTCAGTTTGCAAAGGGGTGAATTTAAAGTGGGAAACCTGTGTCCTTTCCAGATCCTCTCTCTCCCTCTCTCTCTCCCTCTCTCTCTCCCCAGGACCCACCCACGCTCCGGGCCCAGCCCATCCTCCTGGCCCCGCCCATCCTCCTGGCCCCGCCCCATTCCCAGGCTCCGCCTTCACACTCAACCCTTCATCTCATC